CTCATTCCATCTTGCAATGTTTGACATGTAGATTTCTTTATCCTGTTTTTGCCTTGTGGTTGAAAGGTAGCTGCTCAACCTCTGACGTTGCGTCAGCACTCCAGAAAGGTAGACGAGGAAAGGCTAAGGCAGTGTGTCTTAACTGAGGGTGCTTTGTCCCCCAGAGAGATATTTTCCAATATCTAGAGACATTTTTGCTTGTCACAACTTATATGGAGGTTGTTACTAGCATTAAATTTGCAGTAGGTAAAGGTTCTGCTAAATACCTTAGAACCTGAAGTACAAATTGTCACAAGAATTATTTGGCCTCAAATGTCAATAGTGCTGAAATTGGAAATCTCTGGACCAAAGACTGGAAGCACAGCACATGCTAGCTGAGTCTATTCTCATTTAAAATAGGTACTTAGAAATGCAATGAGCACTCTGAGTTATACACCATTGGCCAACGTCTTAGTCATCCCATAACCAAACCCAGTTGTGAAGGAATCTTTGGTAGAAGCTGTATATTTTTTGTTTGGCCCATTGTTGTCCTGAGAAGAACTGGGGTCTACAGCAAGAGAATGAAAGTAGAATCGATATTGGGTAGATGCTAGGTGGTGTTTACTTTAGGAAAGTAAAATATTTTTCCTGAAGTCACAAGGGAAGTGAACATCAGCAGCTGCTTGAGTCTCCTCCACAGAGGAGGGATGACCAGCTGTCAAGAGAAGCTTTTCTTCAGATATGTATATGGAACAATGGCTGCAAATACATGCACTACTTATAGAAAACCCTTGGGTTCTTGGTCAGTGTCAAATAGCCTGGAACATATTTCTCGGTGGATATCATATACCATCTGTTAAATATTCATACACTATTTGCTCAGTATTTATGGTGAAACTTACTTTCCTTTTTTTGTCTTTGTAACCAGTGGGATAATTGATTTCAGACTTCCCTTACTAACAATTTTCCCTTTAAGAAACCATCAAATTATTGGTGCTTTATCTTTGTCAGTCTGAAAATGTTGGAAAGTGTGGTGTCACTGTTTGCCTTAGTCTGCATGCAGGAAAACAGACACCCTCCTTAGAACACCAACCAACAAGATGTATAACATGAGGGATTAGAGGGTTATGTAACCATTACAAGGTTGGGAAATGTAAGGCAGAGGCTGCTAGTGATTATTGCTGCCTATACACCAAAGGGTTCTTCCCAGGAGAATGCTTGGAATGAGTAGAGTATTGTATGTGCTGTCTGTAGATGGTCATGTGCCTGGCTACTACTGCCAACAGTGAATAAATGACATCTCCACCTCTTCCACGTTTCCAAGGGCTTATGACTGCTTCTTATTGTTATCTTGGCAGTCTGATCCAGAGTCATGCTCAGTAGGATTTTGAGAGATGCAATTCTGAAGATTCTCAGGGGACAGTGTAGAACAGGGTGGGTTGGGATGATGTGTAATTGACCACAAACTCTGGAAGAAGGAGCATTTGAGTCAGAATACAAGCATCCTCTATTGAAGTGTTAGAAATGGTGCTATTAGAATTATTACCTCATTTTATTTGTGTATCTTTGGTGGCAAAAATCTGGATTATTTGTATCTCTGTTTTTATTCTCTTCAAGTTGTGGTGATGCTAAATAAATAGTAAGAAAGGATTCAATGCTATAGATATACAGTGCAGCAGGTAATATATTCGGTGAAACTCTGCAGTACAGTGGGGTCCCAGAGAGTAAGGTTTGAAAAACAATGCATAATTCAGCAGCATGCTCTGGAAAGGCCACTGTTCAGAAAACAGTTGTGGGTGACTCAGCTTGTCTATTTTTAGGGGTGTTTGCTGGAGAGAACTATTGCAATTCTTTGTTTGCTATAGTTATGCATATGACTTGTGGTGAGTTAGTAAATTACACTGAGAAATTAACCACAATGAAGAAAATAACCAATTTCAGAAACAGAAAACCTATAGACATAGGACATTGTTTTGTGGGGAGCGTTGTTACCGCCAGTTGCCCACTTTCTGGGTCATCTAAAGCTTTTAATGTAACTCACAGGGTTTTGAAGGCAGAATTTGATCTATGCTATATTTGAGTCCTGAAACAGCAAAACTCATTATGCCTGTGTCCTGCAGCACTTGTAAAATCATGAATCTTGAGTTGCAGGTTTCTGCTGATATTTAATATTTGTATTATCTCAAGGAAGATAAGGGAAATGTACTCTCATATTCTATTTATTTCTTGAGTGAGGCAATCTGAAGGAACTATAGAAAGAAACTCATTACCAAGAGCAGTGTGTGGGGGTCACTGGTTTTGCAATGCCGCTTTGCTGAAATACAGCGAATGGAGCTGGGGTTGTCTGGGTCTTTTGCTGGGTCATCTGGACGCAGATATGGAAATGCAAAATCATGTGCAAATGATTTATTTAGCAAATATAAGAGAAAACAGCTAGGGAATGGGATAAGGTAGACCAAGTGTGGGAAGAGCCAGGGGAGGATGCAATTTCAAAAGACATTTCTGAACTAGTCTGATCCTGTGAAGAAATCTGCCAAGTATAAATTATACCTCTGAGCTGGTCCTGAATTGAAGTGAAGATGCTGGCTTTTCTTGGCCTTGTCACAATCAGTCACTGGCTGAGGGTTGCCTGTGTGGAGGGAGAGGTCAGAGGGGCAGAAGGCAGATCAGCATCTCAGAGCAAACTGTTCTTGTGCATAGACCTTCAAGAGGTCTCTAGTGCTGGTCATTGGAAAAGACAAAAACTTGGGGAGGGATATCTTTATATAAGTGATGAAAGGCATCCCAAAGGATAAAGGCAGAACCCTGACAATGTCCTCCCAACACCACTGTGTGTTGCTCTTTTATTTTTCTGAAACCGAGAATTTGAGGACGGGGGAAGAATAATTTCACTCTTTCTCTAGCGCAAGGGCTGGCAAATTCTCTTACAAAGGCATAGATAAAATATTTGAGATATTGTGGGTCCTAGAGTTTCTGTCTCAGTTACACAGCTCAGAAGTTGCAACACAAAAGCAGCCATAGATTATGGGTAAATGAAAGAGTGTGACTGTGTTCCAGTAAACTTGTATCTATAAAAACATGTGGATGAGGAGGGCTGAATTTGGCTCAGGAGCCATTGTTTTCCAGTCTTTGCTCTGGACTGGTACTCATACTGAGTTTTCACTTCATCTCTTTCATATATACTGCAAAACAGTTAGTGCCTTTGTGTTTCAAAAGGATGACTATGATGTGATGCATCTTAAGTTATTCTGGGTCCCCTGCCTCCAATCTTTTTGGCGTTCTGGCCATCACTCAGAGTGCTTCAAGGATAATCTTCCTGATGCATGACTCATCATCTCCTTTTATTCCCCTGCTGGAAGCATTTAACCCTCTCTTATCTGTTAAAAAAAAAAAAAAGACTTGTTAGCATTGAGGAATCCCTGTAATCCATGAATTTCCTATATGCCTGTCTTTCATATTTAAACTGTGGGATAAATTACATTACATATTTATGATGCACATCAGAATGCTTTGATTTATGTATACAATATAGAATGGCTAAGTGAAACTAATTGGCATATATGATAAGCATCTTTATCATTTACTGTGCGTTGAAAACATTTAAAATCTACTTTCTCGGGGCTGGAGAGATGGCTCAGTGGTTAAGAACACTGGTTGTTCTTGCAGAAGACCCAGGTTTGAATCCCAGCACCCACATGACAGCTAAAAACTGTCTGTAACTCCAGTCCCAGGGGATCCGACAGCCTCTTCTGACCTCAGCGGGCATTGCATGACACGGGTGCACTTACCTACATGCAGGCAATACATGCATACACATAAAATAAAATAAAAAATAAAATTAATTTAAAAATCTACTTTCTCAACTGACTTGTAGACCCATGTGGACTTTGAGCTTGTGTACACACATGAGCTTCTGAAGAGTGCAGCATCTTCCAGACACTTCCGGGTCTTCCACACACTCCTTTTAGTCTCTAAGCAATGCTTTCTTCCTGTGTCTAGCTTATTACACTTAACATAACAATCTCCAGTTTTGTCATACTGCTGCACCTGAACATTATTCCAGTGTGTGTGTGTGTGTGTGTGTGTGTGTGTGTGTGTGTGTGTGTGTACCACATTTTATCCACTCATCAGTACGTTGTTTCAGTTTCTTGGCTACTGCAAATAGTGCTGCAATGAAAATGGAAGTGCAGATGTCTCTTTGATATACTGATTTCATTTTCTTTGGGTATCTATTATCTATGGCTCTACCCAGAAGAGAAATTGCTGGATCTTATGGTAATTTTGCTTTTAGTTTTACTTTTTTTTGAGCAGCTTTCATATCACACTGCTTCCATAGTGATTTTTATCAAGTGTGTAAGAGTTCTCTTTTCTGCACATCCCCACCAACCCTTGTAAGTGCTCATCTTCTTTATAAATCAGCTAGCTTAGCACTTGTCATATAGTATCTCATTGTGGTTTCAATTTGCATTTTTCTCATGATTAGTGATGGTGAAACATCTCCTTTCACGTACCTGTTGTGCATGTATTGTTTGTGAAACAGGTTTTCAAGTTCTTTGTTTATTATATCCAGTTGCTTGTTTTCTTGCTTTTGAGTTATTTGGATTTTTAAATGTATTTTAGACATTAGCCATTTTTCTGATATGCTTGCACTCTATTATTGCTTGTTCATTGTTTCTGTTTCTGGAATGTTCCTCCTCTCAGCTCTGTATGTTTGAATTGCTAACTGTTTTCTAAGGCTTGCATTTTCCTGAGGAAATGATTTCTGTTGTGGACTTTAATAATGATGCTATCATCATTATTAAAATTTTTATTTTTATGTAAGTTATATGCTACATTCACTACATTTTTAGTACATTGAAGGCAGAAACTAACTCTTTCTTTGTCCTTCACAGTGGCTTACATATAGTACATATCCAGTCAAGGGAAATTTCAGAAGAAGATTGCAGCCCTACGTTCTGTGATTATTAATGATTTAAGTAGAGAAAGTCTGACATCATTTTTCTTATTTTCCTTTTTTATAGGCGAGAGCTGTTTTGGCAAAAGTTGGCTATCCTGAGTTTATAATGAATGATACTCATGTTAATGAAGACCTCAAGGCAGTAAGTACTAAATTTACTGTATTTTTTTCTGGCAAGTTTTACTGGCCTTTTGCCTTTTAACTAACCCAAGTCTAAGCAATTAAACCTGGTGGTGCCAGAAAGTACCAACTTTTGATTAATTCCTGGCTATATGTGAGACTGAATTTGCCAGGTGTATTGAAAGATTTAGTGCACATTCAAAATAAAGGAAGTGTCAAAAGAATGGTTAGTTGAGTGGGCACCATAAAGCAAATGGACTTGGCTTGGCCTAATTTGAGAATAAAGGAAAGAATTAACCAAATTGAGTATTTTACAATTAGTGGGTATGTTCTAATGGTGATACATCATGTTTATTGTTAAATACTTTTTATTTTCTTTATTAATATTAAATGAATAGAGTAAATCTGCCTGCTGGGGGTTAACTGTATTAAACTTTATGACTATTTTGACAACTTAAGTGCATATTCATATGACTCTATAATTTATTATATACTGGACTGTATATAGGCATTAAATTACTGATGAGGAATAGTAATAATTCTTTTTTATTCCAATATTTTGAGATACGTAGTTTTCATTATAGGCCTTTCTGATCACAAACTATTGCTATTTCTTTTCCCGTAAGTAGTTCTGGAGACAGTATTTTCTTCCTCACAGAAAAACCGGTTTTTTCATTCACTGGACTTTCCTAAGAAAAGTAGTCTTGAAATGCTTGTAATAACTATGACTCATAAGTAAGACTCTTTGCTGAAACTGTGGTTTGACACGTGGCCTAAGTGAAAGTAGTCCTAGATTTGTGGATAAGCATCAGAATTTTAGAAGACCCTTTACACCTGAGGGAAAGCTCTACTTGAAAACTTTCTACATTTTCTTCAAAATGAAGCCTCCCAAATATTTATATGGTTACTCTGAAAGATAGCAGTTATGCTTTTCAATATCTTAAAACTCGGATGACTTATCTTGTACATGGTTTGATGATTCTGAGCATTGCATTATTATGATAACTAAAATACTGAAACACGACACACTAATGCACATTATGCCTTTATCCCTATCTTCACTGATCCAGTGAAGTCAATGAGTTTATGAGCATTTTGGAGAGAAGGAGGCAGAGAATTAAAGAAGGTGAGTGATTTCTCTAGTGCCACACAGAGTATTAGATCCAGGACTGAACTCGAATCACGGAGCATTGGCTGCAATTGGCTTCCTATACAAGGTAGTCTTGTGGATCAAAATGAGAACGGTTCCTACTAAGTAAGGCTAGTGTTACCAAGGTACAAAGTATGCTAGAAGGAGAACCCAGTTAATTGCTGGGATAATTATGCATGGTTGGTAAATATTCTGAGTGATGATATGGAATAGGAAATTTAGGAGGATAATGGTTATGAACATAAACCCTGGAATTAAAATGCTTGGAGTGAAAAATTTCAATCTGTCATTTACTACTGGGACCTGAGGTAGATTATGTGTCCTCTCTCTGCCTCAATTTCCTAGTCAGCAAAATAAGTAAATTAACCTCTCCCATATAGGATAGTCATGAAAATCAAAGAACATAAAGTGTTCGGAGGCTGCATTAGCACATAAGCACAGATATAAGTGTTAGCTATGACATCCTCAATTTGGACTTATGATATTAGATATTTATTATTATTATTATTATTATTATTATTATTATTATTATTATTATTGTGTGTGTGTGCACACATGCACATGCACCATGGAGGTCAGAAGGATCCCTAGGAACTAGAGTTACAGACATTTGTGAGCTGCTCAATGTGAGTGCTAAAAGCTGAACTCCAGTCCTCTGATAGAGCAGCAAGCACTCTTAACCACTCAGCAATCTCCCCAGCCCTCTCCTTACTGGATTCTTAATTTGGTCTTGAAAAGTCATGATGAATGAACTCATGTAGTATCCAGGTCCCTCAAATAGATTTAAAAGGCTATATTAGATGGAACAGTCCCAAGCTTTAATTCAATTAGATAGCATTCAGGGCTTGCTCACAATATTTAGTTGATCAGGTTTTGTTGGCAGTCTACTGCTGTCCAAGTCAAGAGCTCCAGATTTAAGGCCTCACTGAATGAGGTATCTTTTCTGAAAAGAAACCAGATGCTAAACAGGATGCAGTGTTGGATATGTTTCTTCAATTCTCTAGGGTCTCAATTGCAGCCACCAGGCACCAAGATTTTTAAGCATTTTTTGTGAAGAAATGTTTTTCATCTGAGTCATTGCCAAAACAGATGAAATTACACCCAAGTATTTCTAACAGTTAAAAAAAAAAACAACAGTGAACAAAATACAAATACATGAAGTAGAAATCCATTTGTGTTCAGAAACTGAGAGAGAAAAATGAATAAAACCCAAATTGAAAAGAGGGTAGAGAATGATGTGATAGATTGGAAAGCATGCCACTGAGGTTAATAGCAAAAGGACTGAAGCATCGTCAGTACACAATGGGACTGTGTTTTCAGTTTTAATAAACATGTCGATAAGGACTACTAGAGAGTCCGGGAGAAATTTCTGCTAGTACAAGCTCTGAGCATGAAAGGCTGTTAGAATTGAAAAGCAGCTTGCTCCATTTGACCCTGGTGAAGATATGATTCATCAGGCACAAATACAAAAAGAAAAAAGGAGAGCGATTAAGTGATGGATCAGATGAAGTTCAAGGAGAAAGGTTGCAAACTGTAGTTGAGCTCATATGGAGATAAGAGTGAATGAAAAGAGTTGAGAGGCAAATGTGAAAACGAGTCAGAGTTGTTTTTTTCTCTCTCTCTGAGAATGACAAGGTAAATTGAGATGCTCTGCAATGCATTTCTGAACAACAGTCCTCTATAGTCTTTGGCAACTACAGGAAGAAATGAGATGGCTTTATTTGAACCTAAATCAGCATGCAGGAAAGCCTGTTAGTTAGACTAAAAAGGTAAGTATCAGTTAGTGTTCAAATTAGCCTTATAAAGTATGTGTTCTTGTGACACTGTCACCATTGTCCAAGACCAATGCCAACTCAATCAGACAAAATCCCAGCACAGAATGGGCGAAATGGACAGCAGGCCCCCACCCCTAGCCAAGGAACTATTGGAAAATGGTTCCAGTGGGGTGAGGGAGACTGAATTTTCTTTAAGGGAATCACTCTAGATAGGCTGAATAGACTCCAGTGGATGAACTCGCACTGAGGGACATCTGGGTACAAATGCTTGACTGGATAAGACTTTAACATATATGACAGAATACTTGAAATCTGGTGGGGAGGGTTATGGGGAACAGGGAAGGGGGAGGGGGTCTGAATTTGATTAAGATGAATTATATGAAATGCACAAAAACTCAATAAAAATTTGCCACTCAAAAAATAAAATATAAAAAGGAAATGTAAAAAGAAAAAAACTATATATTCTATTTCATTGATTCTTAATGAAAATAGACTCTAAAGTGAGTTTCTATCAGTTTTGAAGAATGTTGTATCAGCCACAAGAACAAAAAAGATGGTATTTCAAAAAAGGGATTTAATAGAGGAAATAGGTTGGAAGGTGGGAGGAAAAAGGGAAAGGTGAGGTAAACCAGAGATTTTGTCTGGTCTAACAAACG